AGTCTTGGGACGTCAACCGTAAAAGTATGGCTAACGGCTGTACACTTTAAAACGATTGCGCGCGGCGCGAAGGCGAAAGCCACATGTTGAACAAAAACCGCCGTCAATGTGAAACTCTTGCGGCACACTTTCAAAACGAATGTACGCGGCGCTGCAGCCAGAACAACATTTTGAAAACGGTTCGTTTTCCATCAGCGAATATCCTGCACACTTGTAAGGCACATGTACGCCGCGCTGCGGTGAGGGCCACATTATGAAAACCACCCGCCCTCCATCCGTGAAGCTGCTAAGCATGTTTCGAAATTAGTTCGCGAAACGCCAAAGCGAGAACCACATTTTGAACAAGAGCCGCCCTTTGTCCGTGAAACTCTTGCAAATTTGTAAGACGAGTGTGCGCGGCGCCAAGGCGAGAACCACAGTTTGAAAACCACCCACCTTCCGTCCGCGAAGCTCTTGCGAAGTTATAAGACGAGCGTGCGCGGCGCGAAGGCGAGAACCGCATGTTGAACATCGCCCGCCACGCATCCGTGAAATCTTTTGCTTGCAAGCTTTCAACACGAATGTGCGCGGCGCTGATGCGGGAACCACATTTTGAAAACCACCCGCCCTGTATCCGTGAACCTCTGGTACAATCTAAGAAGCGAATGTGAGCAAACCGCCGCCCTCCGTCCGTGGATCATGCTGCTAAATCCGCCGAGCCGGTGCGTGAGTTTGAAAGACCCTCAGAGCAGCCTGAGCCTCAATTCCTGAGCTTCAGCTCTACGGGGGGGGGGGGCCGGGAGGGCTCTGCCGGGGTAGGCGGGGGGGGCCGATTTCATTCCCAGGGCGGAATCGGAGCTCCAGCTCACTCCGGGACGGCTCCCTCGCCCAAGAGGGCCCCAACACGGGCCAAGAGGGCCTCGAGTCGCCGATCGATCGCTACAAGACGCCCAAGATGTCCCCAAAACGGCTCCAGAAGTCTCCAAGATGCCCTCAGAAGCCCTGAAAAGACTTCCCAATGAAGGCCCAAAGAAGCAAAAAGTGTCCCATTCCCTTGGGGAAACATGCAATTTTTGCATATTCGCCTCTTGGGCCTTCAGAGCGTCGCAGACGCCCGAAGAAAACCCCCAAACGGCCCAAGAAGCCGCCACGAAGGCTCCAAGACGGCCCAAGACGGGCCCAAGATGGCCCAGGAGGCCCCCGGAAAGGCCCAAGAGGGCCCCGGGACGGGCCCAAGAGGCGCCTGAGAGGGCGCCGAGACGGCGGAAAAAATACCGAAGATTACCCAAGAAGCCCCCGGCAGGCCCCCAGAGGCCCCCAAAGGCCTGAAGAGGCCCCGGGCCACTTCCAACTGGCCCCGAAGGGGCGCCCTGAAACCCCCTAAAAGGCCCCCAAGAGTTTCAACAAATGCGTCCAATACGCCTTCTAGAAACCTCTAAGCTGCCTCCAAAATTCCCCCCGAGAAGCCCAAAACCGGCCGGAATGCTTCCGCGGCGCTTACTTTTGAACGTAAGCGCTGCAATACAAATTATCCCGGCAAAGCAACCTAACAGCGATGTGTAGGAGCATATCTGGAAGCACTCCCCTTAAGATTCAGATGAGAATCCAGTTGTAGAATTCTGCTGTTCTCGCAGTCGTAGTCGCATTCGCGATGACAGTCGCAGTGGCAACGGCAGTCGCAGTCACAGCCTCAGCCTCAGCCTGCCTCAGCCTCAGCCTCAGCCTGCCTCAGCCTCAGCCTGCCTCAGCCTCAGCCTCAGCCTGCTTCAGCCTCAGCCTCAGTCTGCCTTCAGCCTCGGCCTCAGCCTCAGCCTGCCTCAGCCTCAGCCTGCCTCAGCCTCAGCATCAGCCTCAGCCTCAGCCTCCCTCAGCCTCAGCCTGCCTCAGCCTCAGCCTGCTTCAGCCTCAGCCAGTCAGCCTCAGCCTGCCTCAGCCTCAGCCTGCATCAGCCTCAGCCTCAGCCTCAGCCTGCCTCAGCATCAGCCTGCCTCAGCCTCAGCCTCAGCCTGCCTCAGCCTCAGCCTCAGCCTGCTTCAGCCTCAGCCTCAGTCTGCCTTCAGCCTCGGCCTCAGCCTCAGCCTGCCTCAGCCTCAGCCTGCATCAGCCTCAGCCTCAGCCTCAGCCTGCCTCAGCATCAGCCTGCCTCAGCCTCAGCCTCAGCCTCAGCCTCAGCCTCAGCCTCGGCCTCAGCCTCAGCCTGCCTCAGCCTCAGCCTGCATCAGCCTCAGCCTCAGCCTCAGCCTGCTTCAGCATCAGCCTGCCTCAGCCTCAGCCTCAGCCTCAGCCTCAGCCTCAGCTCGCTGCCTCAGCTCAGCCTCAGCCTCAGCCTCTCCTTCAGCCTCAGCCTCAGCCTGCTTCTCAGTCTGCCTTCAGCCTCGCCTCAGCCTCTGCCTCAGCCTGCAGCCTCAGCCTCAGCCTCAGCCTGAGCCTCAGCCTGCAGCCTCAGCCTCAGCCTCAGCCTGCCTCAGCATCAGCCTGCCTCAGCCTCAGCCTCAGCCTGCCTCAGCCTCAGCATCAACCTCAGCCTGCTTCAGCCTCAGCCTCAGTGTGCCTTCAGCCTCGGCCTCAGCCTCAGCCTGCCTCAGCATCAGCCTCAGCCTCAGCCTGCCTCAGCATCAGCCTGCCTGAGCCTCAGCCTGCCTCAGCCTCAGCCTCAGTCTGCCTTCAGCCTCGGCCTCAGCCTCAGCCTGCCTCAGCCTCAGCCAGCCTCGGCCTCAGCATCAGCCTGCCTCAGTATTCAAAATGTGGCCCGGGAATGGAGTTCTGGGAACTCGAACACCACGAAGTGGCCTACAGTTGGCTCTGGGCATTCAAAATCATGCCCAGGAATGAAAATCTGGGAACTCGAAGACCACGAAGTGGCCCACAGCTGGCTCCGGGCATTCAAAATCATGCCCAGGAATGGAGTTCTGAGAACTCGAAGACCACGAAATGGCCCACAGCTGGCTCCGGGCATTCAAAGTCATGCCCAATAATGGAGTTCTGGGAGCTCGAAGAACACGAAGTGGCCTACAGCTGGCTCCGGGCATTCAAAATCATTTGCAGGAAAGGAGTTCCGGGAACTCAAAGACCACGAAGTGCGTTGTTGTTGGCTAAAAAACAATCCCCGGCATCCTCCCCCGGATCGCGCCCAGACCCCCCTGGGGCGTCATGATGCTCTCTTTTGACCCTACTAGAAACCTATCAGTCTTCGCTGTTAGGTAAAAATTGTCCCGCGTTTTCGCATATTCTCCCGTCTTCGGTGCCCTTCACATCCGTGATTTCACAAAGGCCCGCAGAGGACCGCGCGAAGGTCCCAGAGACCCCAAAAACACCATGGCTCCCGGCAGAGACCGGCGATGCACAAGGCTCCACAAAGAACTGGGGCGCAGACAGCTCGAGCACAAAGCTCTCGCAGAGTGCGCCAAATCGGCAACGTGTCAACCCGAAGAGGGCCAACACCTGGCCCCAAACAGGCCGTCCAACAACCGCCGAACAGCTCCAACAACCGCCGAAGATCTCCTCATCATCGTCATGCTCTTCCCTTTCCACCTCCCCCTCTTTCGCACTTCCCGCTTCCTTTTGCTCCTCCTCATCCTCAGCATCCTGCTGTTCTTGCCCCTCCCCCCGCCCCCCCCCCCCCCCCACCTCATCATGATCCTCCTCCTCCTCCTCCTCCTCATCAACATCATCATCATCATCATCATCATCATCATCATCATCATCATCATCATCATCATCATAATAATCATCCTACTCCGTTGCCCCCATTCCCAGTCCTCATCATCATCCTCACGCTCGCCGTCGGCGCCGGTCATGACCGCCATCTTGCGCTTCCGGCAGCAACAGAAGCGTCCCGGATCGGCGGCGCTGGCCGGAGGCCACTACAATATAATAAGCTCCAGGACCATAAGTGGTGAGGAGGTCTCAGGCGAAACGCCCATACCGCCCGAATTACCGACACGCCTCGGGGTGCGACAAGGAAGCTTTCCTTATGAGGGAAAAACGGAAGAGGGAGGAGGAGGAGGAGGAGGAGGAGGAGCAGGAGCAGCAGGAGCAGGAGCAAGAGGAAGGTGAAGGGAGGAGGTGGGATGAGCAGGAGAGGGGAGTACGGACAAGGAGGAGGATGAGGAGGGAGACGGGAGCAGGAAGAGGAAGGATCAGGAGTGCCGAGGAGGAAGAGGAGGAGGAAGGGGAGGAGGAGCAAGCAAAGCGAAAAACTATGGGACCCAGTGTCTCTCCCTAGCTACGAGACCAAAACTGGCTGGATCTAACTGACTGCAGTGAATCAGACTTCCAACGTGAGGAGCCCTGTCGGCGGGGGACGCTCAAGCCTGGAGACGGCCCCAATGGAGGAATATCCGGTGGGCGTCTCATGGCACCACCCCCTAATTACAGGAAGCCCCGTCGGACGCTAGGCAGGCCCCCGTGGCCCTACCCCTCTCGCTCGACGGCTCGCGGGCTTCGCACGAGCCCGCGCAATGAAAACAGTTCTGTCATCATGGACGCTCCCCCTTTAAAGCAAATCGATCCTCGGCTACACCAGCAGCCACAGAGATCTCGGAGGCACAAGATTCCTGTCCCGAAGTTCCCGAGAAAAGGGGGGGGGGGGGGGGGGCAATCCACGACGTTGTAACTCAAGGAACCAGTCACTGGCACGGAATCGCTCACTACCACAAAACGCGGGCGGAGGAGGGACGGGAGGGCGAGATCGAGCAGGAGCAGGTCGAGGGGGCGCGGAACGACCGAGGGCCGAGGCCGAGGACCCAAGACGGACCCCAGGAGGCAGCACGGGAGATCTAATTCATGGCTCAGATCTGGATGGGACCAGAGGAGCAGGCAGCCTATCGGTTGAACCCATCGCTCTCGTCGGACACGTCGTAGACCCCACAAACGTCGTCGACATAGTACTCGTGCCCCTCAATGTACTTATCCCCATACTCTGGCGAGCATCCGTGCGCATATCACCCACATTCAAACTCAGACCACCTACTTCCCCTCCAGCTGGTCCAAGAGACGCTGCGCATCCCTCTCGAGGGCGCCTCTGGGCGCCGCTCCGTACTTCCTGGTCGCACCTATGGAGTGGACGCATTTCGAAATGGCGCCCTCGAGATACTGATGACTGTGATCCACTGGAAACGTCACCCGCACCATGGCCTTCTGATGGTCCTGCTTCCGCGTCGGCCGTGCCCGGCGCGCCCGCGCGCTCGTCGCCACCTGATCGATGCTGTTTTCCATGATGAAATCGCTCCAGTACTGCTCCAACGACTTGGCGACATCGGGCGGTGGGCCAGCCTGGCCTATGGCACGAAGAAGGGCGACCCAAACTTGAACAAAGGGAGGGCCCCTATTCTCTGTAGAATTGTCTGTCTTCCGCCGCTTCGCCTCTCGGCAATGTGCGACGCCAGCGGGCCTGGCGGCCTCGATGACTGCATGCTCGGCGTCTGCCGTCAAAAGAACACGAAAACGACGCCGCGCAGCTCGCGTAGTTCTGCAGCGTTGCTGAGGGGCAGCCGTGCTAGAATGGCCACGAGGGCTTTGGGAACTCCACCGCCTTTGCCTCATCCTCCCTCCTTCTTGGCCTCCTCTACTACGTCCTCGATTGCCCTCCGCTTGCGATGGTTCGACTTGCCCCCCTCGGCTGCAGCGGCGGACGATGCCAGCATCCACGACGGAGTCGCGCCCATCGTCTGGAGGTGGCAGAGGAAGAGGGTCACGGTGTGATCCGGGATGCACCTGCAGCTCGGCCAAAACGCCTGCAGAGAACTCGCATAAAGAGGACACTTAAGAGATGCTGGGCTCCCAAACTCAGCCAAGTTGTGGGCGCAGTCCCTATGGCACCTGCCTTTGATCACGCTGCGAGACAGGCGGCGTCGGGCACTCTCGGGGCGAGCAAAGGTGGCAAGACACACGCAGCGCTGATTAGTCACAGTCGCGACATTATCTAAGGCTCGAAACCCGTCGCGCGAAATAAGATGGTTCTGTAGGGAACGTCTGTCTTGCAAGGCCCGCCCGCATACCCCCCCACTCTCGCCCTTAATCACGCAGGTAAACATAGCATCAACCTCGGACCCCCCCCCCCCCACACGACCGTAGCAGTAGCAGTCGACGTCCCAGGGGGGGGGTAATCCCAGACAAGACCGCAGCGCGTAGCTGACGTACATCAATACTATAAAACACTTCAGCACACCCAGGATCAGTAAACAATAAACAATACCTCCCTTCAAGTTGTTCCAGTAAAGAAGCCCCTCCCTCAATCACCTGTAGGCTATCAATACCTGCGCGCATGCGCTGCGTCCACGGAGACGCCGCCCCCTCCAGCCGACCCCTTCATGTCAACGTGAAATAGGTCACTACCGAAGGCTCCAAGTAGGAACGCCAGGAGTTGACGATGGGCCCCGGGGACTTTTGAACCACTCTGCCAGAGCCGGAGACGACGTTAACGTATTTCCAGTTCTAGGGGAACAGGGCGCCACCATCTATGAACAGCCTCAGAGGACAGACTTGTTGGGTAAACCCCAGAGGTCCAGTTGACAGCCTGGCCCATCATCGCCTTCCGCGCATGCTGGGCTACGACATGCTGCAGACGCTGGACTCGTTGCACACTCGGGCGGAACGCCTGCACCCCAGAGAGAGCCACATCATAAATCTTTGAGGTCGATAAACAACGCCTAAGTCGGTGGGGAGCGCCCCGAAGAGCCCAGAAACCACACATCTGATACCACGCCTGACGAACAGCACTGATACGCGACTTAAGTCCAAACTCATAGCTAGTTGGTATAGACGATAACCAGGATCCCATACCCTTAGCACGCTGAACAGGCTTTCCAAGAAACACGAGACGCCCCGCCCGAATATCGCGAAGACATGCAGCAGCTCCGTACCCCTGAACGTGCAACAGCGCGTCCTGCTTGGTTGGATCCTGGGCAAAACCGACTTCAGCAAGATGCTCGTCCAGAGACTGATTGGGCTGCCGACTTGAATGGGCCAGCTCGCGAGGGTCCACACCTCGCGGGAGCACAAGCTTCTTGGCCAAGTCATCCGCATACTTCGTTAGCGAGCAATTGACCGCCTCACATTCAAACACCAGCCGACCATCTCGAAAGAACGGCCGCCTAGCATGAAGCACAGCAGACTGGGAGTCGAACGCGGAGCGGGTATCCAGCCACTTCTGCACAGGAGGAACGAAGGTGCAAACAAAGGTGTTGACTGCGAACTCATCCGCCATCAGTCCTCCACTCCCCGGTACAATATTGACATCCCCCTCATGCCCCCGCACCGTGATGACAGCACTCTTAAGACGTTGGTGCGCAAATCGCACCGATGATCGCAAACATAAATCTCGAATTGCAGACCCCATCGGCGGTCTGGCACTGCTAGCCCACGCATTCGTCAGGTCGTGGGCGTTGAGCAGGAAGGAATAGCCAATGCGGTGTAGCAATTTCCCTGTAATGCCCTGAACCATGAGCGCACGCTCTCGACGTCGATGCCTCAGAAACCCATGATCCTGGTCGGCGCCCTGCAGCTGGCCTCGCTGGGCCATCGCCCCCGACGCCCAGGCCTCCCCAAAGGGGTCCAGGAGGTGGATCCAGCGAGTCTTCCCGTCAGGCCTCGGAATAAGCCCCCCCCCCCCCCCCCCCCCCCTCCTCCCCCCCCCCCTACTACGGTTCCAGAAGATCGGAATTTGCCCACAACACCTTTTCGAGCAAGCCCCCCGACAACCAGGTCTCTGAAGTTCCCCAAAGAATGCGGGCACGCAACAGCACGCACTCCAGATGGCAGCTGACTCAAGTTCTTCTCCGGGAACAATGACAGCCACCAGAGCTCCAGAGGGGGGGGGGGGGGCCATTCGGGGGCAGCTCGGCGTTTGCCTGCGCGCGTCAGGCGAGACAAAATAGCACGCAGATCTGCGAGCAGCTCGAAAATCATCTTCTGATGGCTGCACTGGAGGCGGAGCTCTAGAGATCCACTCAGACCGCCAGTCATGTCAGTCATCAACTGATACCGCCGACATGCCTCCACGAGGCCCAGGCTGAGCAACAAGGCGTCTGAGGTCAGCAGCGTCGTCTACTGTTCCTCGAATCGCTGCGTAATCACGCTTCTCTGGTCCGAACCTCGATCCAGACGCTCGCCTCGCTAATGGAGTCGCTTCCGCTAATCGACGATATTTCCCGTGTTCGCGCACCTCTTCCAAAAGCGCCTCCCTCCATTCCTCCAGAGCAAGTCTCCGAAACAATCGATGCAGTCGCGACACCTCTCGAAGACGGTGCTGAACCTGCACAACGTACTCTTCAGCAACCTCTGGGGGCATGAGCCTAAATTGCCGTCTCTACTCAAGCAGCTGTTCTCGCTCAAGTGCATGGGCTTTTTGTTGTTCACATTCAGGATTGCCGAACACTTCTTGACCAACCTCAATCAGGATAGCGTTAACCTGTTCAAAGAACGCATCTGCCGTAGACTTTTCCAGTAAATCAGTGAGAGCATTCTCGTCAGCCTCCAGCCGGCGACGCAGTGCCTGCGCAAACTCAGCCCGTCGTTCACCACGCCGCAGGCACCGCATAAGCAGATCTCGATCCCAGGCATGAGGTTTAGCACGGGGGGTGGAGGTAGAGTAAGAGGGCGCATACATGGTCTTAGTCATGATGAGGAGATGATCAGCAGGTCTAGCAGAGGGAATAATCTGCAACTCACGACTAACTCGGCGAAGAGGACTGCTGTGAAACATCTGATTCCCCAAAGGGCGCGGTAAACACATAAAAACAATCGTATTCGTTCCGCCCGTGTTGCGGTAAAACGCCGGCATTCGTTCCCGAGCACAGTTAGCCGCACACAATTCATGACTCGCTAGTACCCCCCCCCGCTGCTATCCCTGCATAGTGTGCCTGGCTGGCGTAGGACGACGGGACGACATGTTTATCATCATACACCCACCCTTGTCCTGCGACATGCACCAACCCAAGCCCATCATTCAAGTCCATACCCACAATTGGGGTGGACCGAGCTGGGAGAGCACATAATTGTTCAGCCAGCCACGATGTAAGTTTATCACAGGTCCGCTGGTACCCACTCATCGCCGCAAGATCCCGAACTCGGGGGGGATAGTACAGAGCAATGCAGGCTAAATCTCAGGATCCGTTGTTCACTCGAACAAGCAGCCCACGGCCTTGAAGTTCAGGTGGGGGAACTGCGACCCGCACAATGTATGCCACCGAAAATCTCTTTCCCAGGACAATCGAGCACCCGCATGAGTTGGTGACGACTGGACTCGAGCGATACCCTGCTTCGACCACGACACGAGAACGCTGCACTGCTGGCATACATATTTTGCGGCGCCTCACAGAAGCTCCTGCCGCCGCCTTGGTCTTCGCGCCGACGAGGGTCAGCACGTCAAACGATGTAGTCCTGCGACAAATCTCCTCCAATCGATCCTCACTGTTCGCCCGCAACAGGTTATAGCTGCCAGCGACCAAGGAGTACATGAGACAGGGCAGCCAGCAGCCCCTCATGCTGCATGGACAAGACGAGAAAACATGGATGTGGACTGAGCTACGTACGTTAGACAGAATACGCCCCTGTGCTGGTGGAACTGAGCCGTGGGGGCTGGGGGAGGAGGAGGAGGAGCTGTGACCGCAGGGAGCGACGACAGGACGATAAGAAAGACATGGCTCTGGCCCCCATGCACTCTTCCCAGGCCCGCGGAGTCATCATGCTCAAGTCCTCGGGCCCGGTCCACGGGGACCAATTTTTGGCCTCGGATCGTCGTTCTAAGGCTACGACATCGCCAGCGGTCCACAGACCAGGCCGACCACTGCCAAAAAAACAAATCCGCCTCGATCTTTTCCGCAGCGCCCGATGCCCTGGGTCCTCATCCACCTCCTCCTCCTCCTCTTTCTCCTGCACCCTCCTCCATCCTCCTCCTTCCTTCTTCTCCTCCTTCTTCTCCTCCTCCTCCTCCTCCTCCTCCTCTTCATTCGCCTCCTCCGCCTCATCGTTTTCGTTTTGTTATCGTTTTCCCTCGTTTTGTCTTCGACCCGCCCTTGCTGCAAAACGGAGTCGAGACGAAACCGGCTCACGAGGTCGCCAAAACACCGTTCAGGTCGACCACTGTCCCTCAATCCTCACCCGCGCCTCCCAACCCCTCTCCCAGGAGAAGCCTGACCCCGGCGCCACCCCTGCAAATCATCTCGACCAGGGACGTCTTGCCGACCTGTGCGGGGGCGGGGCAGGGAGGCGAACGACAAATGATGAGGGGAAGGGCACATTGCCCCTTCCTCATCGATCACTTATCCCGGAGA